CTCTCTCTCTCTCTCTCTCTCTCTCTCTCTCTCTCTCTCTCTCTTGTGTTAGCTCTTAGTCTCATTGATTAGGCTACCTTAGGGCTGCGTTCCCCCCGCCCACGCAGTAGACAATAGAAAACGAGAACGAGGAGGCCGGGAATCCCTCCACAATCAACCTGGAAAATGGTAAACTCTGGGACCATTACCCAGTTTATGGTGCAGAAATTGTGAATTATAGTCCAGTAGCAGATTTGGCCACATCCAGACCGCTGCTCTGACATTTCCCAACCCTGGGAAAAAAAGAAAATTGCCTTCACGGCCCACAAAGCCACACAAAACTAAAAGATACAACAGGGCCAAAAGAATACCACCCGGCCCGAGAGGCTCCAATGCGAACTTAGCAGAATACACGATTAAGATTGGATACTCCGTAAATCAACCATCGAAACAACCTATCGTGGTTGCTCGGTCTAGATGGGCACAACTTCTGCAAACAAGTGAGTTAAATCTTGACTCATAATTAACCTCCTTTTTTTTTTTTTTTTAGGAAGAAACAGCCCGAGCTGACGCTAGGGGTGCTGGTAAGAGCAGACACCACTAGCGCCGCCAGGAAGGCTCCATCTATTGGTGGGGAGCAGCACCTGCTAGAAATCGGGTCCAGCGTCCCTAGACATGGTATTCATTTGATTATTCGAGCAAAAAATTGTGACGACTTGTAGTGTATGTGCGTAAACAAGTTTATGATAATGAGCAATATTGATTGCCCTTGTGAAAGGGGATTAACTGCTCCTAAACCGTGCCTTCCTTACCCTACCGTGCTCCACCCATCCGCCGATAGGTAGAGTGATCACCAGCAAATGAGGGGGGACGAAATCACAACAGAGTCAGAAACCACAATCGTTTCCCGACAACCCCAACCCTAACCGTAATGACAAGCGTCCTCAACAACCATCCTAGGGAAACAATCATCAAACACTGCATAGTAATTATCTAACACAAGACAAGGGTATCAAATAAAACCCTAAACAGTCCCCCTACCGTGAGAGAGGCCACCACCCCTGCGTAATTGGAGTTGCAGACTGGTCAACTCCACTCTTCGCCAACTAACCCACGCCCATCCGCTGCCAACCAGCAGAACCCGTGATCGATCTCCGAATCGTCCTTGTCATCCTTGGCCTCATTGCCATAACCATACTTATTGTTGTCGTTAATCCCGTCGGTGGTATTGTCGCCAACAACGCCGTAGTTAATATTCTTGAGCTGTTTGCTATTGTTGTCGCTGTTGTTGATAATACTGTTGAAGTCACTGTTATCGTTGTTGTCGCCGTTTTTATTGATGCTCTCACCACCTCCAACGTCGATCCCTCTGCTAATGATGTCATCTCCTCCGTTGCCGTTCAAGACACTAAGAGAGCTGGAGTTGATAATCGTGAGCTTGTTGTTGTTGTTGTTGATGTTATTATCGTTGTTATTGTCGTTGTCGTTACTGTCGTTGTAGTCGATGTTGGTGCTGAAGCGGTTGTCGCCTCTGCTGTCTTCATTTGTTGTCGCAGGCGACAATCCCGCCTCCAAAGCTGCGCAGCGATTCCGGCCGTTCCTAAAGATGTCGTAGCATCTGTGCATGAGCAAGCCAGCTTGATGCCAATCAACAAACTCCTCAATCGAAGGAGTCGGCCCCTCCTCCAACTCCCAAATGACTTCAAGCATGCTCTGCATCATGTCCTTCAGCCATGGCGCTAGTGTGATTGTCCCCCCTACAGCCCCTGACTGATCACCATGGCTCGAACACAAAATAGCCACAACCTCCTGCAAACGGCAGCCGCCTTCTTCTATAGTCTCCAACCATTCAGCCGCACCACTTTGTAATTGTTCGATAGGAACCATGTCGTCCAAAAAACGCGCCGTCAGATCCTGCAAATCAGACGCCCCAACCTCCTGCTGGTAGCATCTTGCAACTTCTGTAAACAAGTGAGTTAAATCTAGACTCATAATTAACCTCCTGCTAGGAGCATCTTGCATTAATTCCAAATCAAAGACATGCCTCCCTAATATGGCTTGTTTATATGGTCTCGACCCCCTCTGCAGTGTGGCTCGCAGAAAGAGGGATGAGAATTGATCTCAAATGCTCCAGATGCCAATGGGTGTTTGAATCTTTTATTCACCTCTGGTGGCATTGTCAGGCTTCGGACAGAGTCTGGAAATGGATCATAAAGCACCGGAATAGAGTTTCAAACTCGAGCATGGTTTGGTCCAAGGAATAGACCTTACTGGGTGGCGTCCCAGCCAACCTTTCCAAGAGGAAAGGTTGGCGCTATGTGGCACAGGTCTTTCGAGCCATAGGCTTTCCAGTATTGACTTACCGTGAGGGCACGGGTGCGCAGCCTGTAGTTCGTTTGTTTATGTGGTTCGGGAAGGGTAAGGTAGTGATTATGCTGTATGTATGTTTTGTCATGTTCAATATACACAACTCGAAGAGAGTGTGTGTGGGGTCCCGGTTGGTGCTTTATTCACGATGTTCATGGGACGCTGGACCCAGTTTCCGACAGGTGGCGCTCCCATAATAGACAGGAGAATGTGTGTGTG